GTACTCAAGGAAACCCTAAACCCTAAACCTTTATGGTATTCAAGGTTCAATAGACGGTAGGCGGAGCGCCTATCATGTGGATCTTGTCTTCTGTTCTCGAGGCGTGGGCTGGAAGGACTCTGTCGGCACTTTTTCTTGACTCCCGGTAGATGCACTCTGCTTCCATGCATAGGGTCATAGAGTATGCTCATGGTTTAGGGTTTAGGGTTTTGGGGTGTAGTGTTTAGGACAATGTTGTTGCTGCCACACAGGAAGATCTCCCCCAATTTAAGAACCCCTCCTATCTCTCAGCCCATGGTGCCTGGTACGCTGCAGGAGCGCTGGCAGAGCCTTACCAAAGGTAATGTCGTTCCTTACGGTTTGGGGTTTACGGTTTAGGGTCCGACATCCCGGCTTGCAGCACCCCTACTTTACGGTTAGGATCTAACAATCAGGCAATAAGGTAACCAAAACAAAGTGCTACCGCAGTGCTACCGGTACATTTCAGGGTCTAGGCAGGGCCGTAAGCCCTGAAACTCCAAAGCTTCGTCGCTCCCTCTTTCGCTCACCAACTCTCTCAGCCAATGTCCTAAACCCTAAACCCTTTTTTGAACCCAGGCTCTTTGCTAAACCCTAAACCCTAACCGAGGAAGGGCCCGAGGATGCATAAGATGAAACCAAACTCTGAAACTGTCGAGCCTACTTGGAGGTTAATAGGTAGCTATAGATGGGGTTATAAGTAAGGTAGCTATAATTATACCCCATATTTGGGGACTTATAACCATACTTATAACTACCCATGAACCGCCAAGTAGTCGCAGCTTGTATACTGACTGCACCATGTTTAGGTGTCAGGCCTTTTTTAGGACGACAGTTCTAATTCTGAACCCGCAAACCTGAAAGAATTCTGAATTTCTGAACAAAACCTGCCAGGAGCTGCCGCCTGAAGAACCCTGGTCGCCGCTGCTTTCCGGAAGCGAAAAGTTCATGGGGCTGTCCTGGCAAGGGCGCCCCTTAGAAGCCCCAGCAAAACCCGTCGGCAGCTTATGGTCAGCTTCGGACTACATCCCCCAAACTCCGAACCCCAAACCCCTTAAATCCATATACGGTTTAGGGTTTAGTTTAGGGTTTACGGTGTACGGTTTAGTTTAGGTTGGTGTGTTTAGGGTTTGGGGTTTAGGGTTTAGTTTAGGGCTTGACTTGGTACACTTCTCGATTTGTGCGTTTAGGTTTAAGGCTTAGGGTTACGCCCAAAGCCCACTTTAACCCCAAGCAACCTACATGCGCAACTACTTGAGACGCAAATCTTATGTAGGAAACCTTACAAGGGTAGGTGTCTTGGGGTTTCGGTAGATCCCACCCCCTTTCGCCCACTGAAAACCCCTCAACCCTAGTGAGTCCTGCGTTCCTTGCAGGTTGCGGTCGCAGAAAGCCTTCAGGGCCTGCGAAGAACAGGAGGCAGAGGCAACTTAAGAGTTTAGGGTTTTTGGGGTTCCTAATACCCCTAAACCCTAAACCTGTGAAACTTCAGGGTTTAGGGGTTCTGGGCCCTAAACCCTAAACGTTCTGGGTTCCGAATAAATTTAAAGCCCCTAAAGCCTATAAACCCGGGGCAGCTTCGGAGTTTAGGGTTCAGGTTCCGTGTTGAGGATTTGCGGGGTGTTGCAGAAAGCAGCCCAACTCGGACAGAGAGCCCGTCCGGGTTTATGCGGGTTTGATATTTTGTGCCTCCTGGGTTTGGGTTTAGGGCTGAGGGTTTAGTTTAGAGTCGAGGGCTTCTGGCCTTCTTCAGGGGCCTTAAACCCCCCTTTTTGAGCAGGGACTGCAATGCACTATGCCCTGAATCCCTTAGGACCCTAAACCACTAAACCCCTAAACCCTAAACCCCTAAACCCCGAAACCCTAAACCCGTTTTTCGGGCCGTGTCTGCGATGCACTGAACCTTCAGCTAAGGCGGGGCCGGCCTCGGTCCTTCAAATTGCGGGACCCTGAAGAAAAAAAACGTCCTCTCTAATGGAGGGGCCTGAACGATTAGAATAGGGTTTTGGGGCCCATTCTACTACAATCATAAAAAGGACCCGCAAAATACTATAGCCTCTCTACTTGGAGGTTCATGGGTGGTTGTAACTGGAGTTATGAGTCCCCTGATACAGGTTTTATAAGTACTGTTACCCTACTTATACCCCTACTTATAACTACCCTTGAACCTCCAAGTAGACGTATACAGTGAATACAGGGTAACGTTTCTTTTAACCAAACGCTGCAACAGGCTACCCCCGCACAGCCGGCAAAGGATGCAGCGGTAGGCTTAGCGGGAGTACTATTACATGGCAGGATCAGCAGTTTTGGGGCATGGAGCGATGGCTTGTTAACAAGTTTTAATAACGGAAACTGTAGGAAAATTAGGTGGAAATGCGCGGCGGCCTGGGATTGGGGCACATGGACGCGTTTAAGTAGGGGCGTTGAATCAAAGGATGGAGATATCACGGTTCGGCATAGCCAGTAGATGCTCTGCGAAAAGGATGGGGTCCGACTGGGCATTATCGGGGTTCGGGCATGGGTGCTCTGCGAACAGGATGGAGTATTACGGCCAGGGCATGGATGCTCTCTGAAAAGGATAGGGTACGACTGGACGTTATCACGGTTCTGCCATGGATGCTCTGCGAAACGGATGGAGTCCGACTGGACATTATGACGGTTCGGGCAGGGATGCTGTGCGAACAAGATGGAGTCTGACCGGATGTTATCATGGCTCGGGCATGGATACTCTCCGAACAGGATAGTCAAAAATGGGCGTTGTCTTCCGAGAAGGCAGGCGCGACGTTTTCATCATGCGAAGTGCAGTGCACGAAGGACTGTAAATACCGATGCGTTCGAGGNNCCCCCCCCCCCCCCCCCCCGAAAACAGCGACAGGTGCGAGGTTTTCGGCGATGAATGCGACGGAGCATCCTAAAAACCGATGCGCTGGAGGTCGCCTTAACAGGCCGCTGGAGCCTTTAACAAAGTCTGGGTGCACATGTTGGTATACTTATAGAATCTTAGAAGGAGGAACCCTATGGCCCTAAGGAGTATAAGATTTTCAATCAACCCTGCATCCTTCCAAACCGAAGCGGCTAGACTCCCGAGCTCTTAGACTCAACTGCGCTCCCGGAGATCCCATGCTGAAGATCTGAACAAACCAGAAATCCCTACAACCCAGTCTGCTGCGCAGTCCTAAATCCTGCAACCAAATCCCTACGATGGCGCTTAAAAGAAACCATTCCAGGAACAAGAAAGCCACTAAACCCTAAACCCTAAATCCTAAACCCTAAGCCCTAAGCCCCTGTTTTGAGCACGGACTTGCACCTAAACCGTAAAACCCTAAACCGGCACAGCCCGAGGAGTAGGTACCTCACAACTCTCCAGGAGACCCGAGCAATCCGTCGTCCTGAGGAGACGTGGGGCTTGGGATTGAGGGGTTTAGGGTTCAGGGGTTTAGGGTTTAGGGTTTAGGGTTTAGGGTTCAGGGTGCGTGCTTACAAGCTTAGAAGGTTTATGGCTCAGAGCTTTCAGAAGTCAGGGGTTTAGGATACAGAGGATAAGCTTGAGGACTGCAAAGAATTTAGGCCCTATCGGATGCCCTGTCGATTGGACGGTAAATTAATCCTCCATGCATTTTAAGCTTCAGAGGTTCAGAGATTAAGGCCTTTGTTTTTTTTTGTTGGGCGTGTTGAGCTGAGGGCTTGCGCAAGGCTTTCGAGGATGCAAGGATTTAGGATGTTTCGGCTCAAGCCCGTCAGGCGTACTATCGAGTTTAGGGTTTGGGGGGGGGTAGGGGTTTAGGCTTCAGGGGGTTAGGGCTTTAGGAGGTTAGGGGTTTAGGGGTTAGGGTTTAGGGGTTTAGGGTTTAGGGGGTTTAGGGTTTAGGGTTTATCTATCGGGGTCTTGATAGCTAGGATGGGAGATCATGGTGTACATTATCGCATGGTTTAGATGAGGAGCACTCGAAAGCCTAAGCCTAAACCAATTCTTCAAGTCCTACAGTACTGGTGTAGCGTGTGGCAGAGAATCGACCCACTCGAGCCGCAAACCAAGGGAGGGCGTGGGGTTTAGCTTTGGAGGGTCGGTTTAGGGCTTAGGGGGTTACGGTTTAGGGTTTAGGGCTTACGATTTAGGATCCCCCCAAAAGGAAGCAGTCAAGCAGAAATCCTACACCCCTTTCCGATCGGGCTTGCCTCGTCGCCTGGGGTCTGCCTCTGCCCAGAACGTGTGCCGAAGCAGAAACGAACGCTGAAATCATGCCAGTCGTCCCACACATCTTGAACTACATCACACAAGAGAACTATGGTGTGTGTGTGCGCCCGGTGAAACCAAGAATGTTGAAAGCCCCTGATGAATGCAGATTGAACCCGGGAAGGCACATGATAGTGAACAAGAATCCCAACACCAAACCCTCAACCCTTTTTTGCATCAGGACCTGTTCCCTAAAGCCCTAAAGCATGTGGATGCATGCCGATGCCGGATCCATTTCTCTTCCACAGGTCGCATCCCGGAAGCTTCCGCAGCGAAAGGTGTCGATTCAAAGACTCGCACGTGGGCTTTCGAAGAAGACGGGACCAAAATAGGACTCCCGAACAGTAAGATCCTTCCTGGAAGCCCTATATAAAGGCCCTAAAGAAGGTACCCCTCAATTTTAACCCTAACCCTAAACTTAAGCAATTCCCACATGGCTGGCGAAGGCTTCACGACAAGCTGATCCGCATGTTCTCTGGATCGAGTCATGAGCAGAACCACAGGCCCACCGGGATTTCGGGTTTTGGGGTAAAGGTCTTAAAGGGTTTAGAATTTAGGGGCTTAGTGTTTAGGGGTTTAGGGCTTAGGGTTTTCAAGATCTTAAAAGATTAGGGTCTTGCGGTTTAGAGCTCAGTCTAGGGTGTCGCCCCCAGCATGCTGCATGGCTTAGTTTGATGCGTTCTGGGCTGATGTTCATATGCCAGAACCTATCCCTGGTATTGCCGGCCGTGGATTGCAAAGGCGGTGCGTACCCGTGGAAGAGCATCGCCGCAACTTCAAACACTCGGCGGACAATGTCTTCACAGAGCTTCCAAAAGATTTCGGAAGAGGCCGCGCATCCGAAATTCAAGGGGGGGAGCTTCTGGCTCCCACGTCCTAGCAACCACAGAAACTCAAGCAACCACCGAAACTCTATGCAGTCCTCCATCAGGCAGCTAAATCCACGAACCCCCCCCCCCTCCCACACCTCATATGCAAGCGCACCTTGAGTGAAAATCTGAGGCTCTGTCGTCGCTCACGACGCAGGCAAGCACAAGAACAACAGGATTCTTCAAATTTTTGTGTGGTCTTCCGGATGGCATCACATTTTAAGGATGCAGTGACTATGACTCCCTTTCGGGATTGAAGTCGGGTGGGACAGCGACGCAGGCCGACGTGCATCATTCGGACTTTCGCGCCTGACGACCTGAGGGACGCGTTTAGGGTTTGGGGGATGGATGATGATGAGCCGCTCCTGCGTTCTTGAGGGTTGCAGACATAGGGGTGAGGCTATACAGCTTCGCGACGGTTTGCCGGTGCCGCCAATATAGCATCCGCCAGTTGGCGCGGGGCCACCTTGCCCCAGTTCCAGCCGGAGCAGGAAAAGAAACACGCTGTGAAGGGACATACAAGCGCACCAAAGAGAATCATCCCGGTCCACAACTGCATGTAATCATACGGGACTGGGAGCATATATCTCAAAACATTCCAGCAATACCATTCCAGCCCCGTCATGCCCACAGTCAGGGCCGCGATGAAGAGCAGGATGACCAAGTTGAGGGTCTCATCTAACATCCGCCATCGGCACTTTTTTCGCAGATAGTACATGGCCCTCATGCCAAGGAGTAGGTTCAACGGCACGGCACCCAGCCACCACACAGCACCACGGATCAACCAATTTGCCAGGAAGGCCTCCGGTGACCCCCTTTCTGAGTTTCCGCAATACCCATCCGAGCCAGGCAACTGATTCAAGTGTTTGCACCACAGCCAACCTCCCGCTGCAAAGTCCAGACCAGACCACATGACAGGGCACAAGGCGACAATGCACTGCCTGTAAGAGAAGAAGTCTTGAGAGAGCTGCGTCAAAAGGCAGTCTAGGACGTCTGTCCGTACACGCTCTTCGAAGACTTCAACACTGCCGAACCACACAGTGATGCAACCTAGAAGCATGTCCTTGTCACAAGCTGAACGGTTCCGGTGCCCCTTGCTGCAGCAGTAGCAGGTCGCGTCTTGGACGGAGAATACACGAAGTTGGCGTTTGAGCTCTTCGATGGACCGAAAATAACTTCGGTATGTAACAACGTTTACATAGCAGGCGACAAAAACCACAATTCCTTCCATTGGAAAAGCGGTGTTCCTGAAACCCTGCATCAACATGACAAGAGCCTGTACCAGCGCCATTGCAACGGTCAGAAAAAACAATGTAGGACCGAAGATAGTAGGCCGAATGATGAGCCGTGGTTTCTCACCAGGAGAACGGCTGTGAAGGAAAGCTGCGAGCTCAAACAAGCACCACATTCGCCGTGAGAACGTGGGATCCCACAGCACGATCATAGCCTTACTTCGCCAATAAGCCAGGGAAATAAAAGGTTAAACTTTCAGACTACTACTAAGTTATAGGAACCTAAAAAGTTTAAAGGTTGGGTATTGGGGAACTAAGTAGCCTTCGTTCGTTTGATCAAGGCTGCGATGCTCCTGATTCCCATCATTTTACGAGACCTGTCGAGCTGATCGATGCACACGACATCCAAAAAAACTCCTTCCCGGGGGCGAGCCACGAAGAGGAGCACTAAATAGAGGCAGCACCCAGTCGCAAGTGCCCAGATAGAGTTAAAGCGGTGGGTTTCATCTACCTCGACATCATAGCCCGGCAGAACCTCAGCTGCATATAGGCAGCTGGCCAGCACGGCGCCAAAAGAGGCGACCGCCATGGACCTCAAGGAGTTGTAGAGGATCAACAGCGTAAGGACCTTCTGCCAGGCACTTCCATGCCAACTATGGCTCCAAAAGGTCTCAATCTCGCTCGTCACCTCACTGAAGTGATGCCACCCTTTCTGTGCATCCGGGTGCCTCAAAGGCATGCCGAAGTTCTTTAGCGGTTTGTAAGCCTTCGTCGACCGGATGACATCGTCAGCCGTCGGGGTCATCAGTGAGAGAAAATGGCTGATGGAGCCTCGCGCAGCGGTCTCTGCCCGCTGGCTGCATGCCTGCGCATTCCCGATGACGCACTCTTCCATTGAACCCTCTGGTCGGCATTTGGCAGATTCGGCTTGATGTCCTGTACTTAAGCCCGATGCATTTGTGAAGTATACATGCATTATGGTCGCATATGACATATGGTGGGTGGATGGATGGACAGACAACAGGTTAGAAAAGCCTGGTGGAGATATCTCCCACCCTTACTCTCTATCTCTCTCTACTTCTCTCCCTCTGACGAGGCCGAGGTCGTGTATCATCAAGCTACCCATAGGCCATAGGCCCCATAGTGGTTCCTGTTTGGGGTTCATATGTGGAAACCTATAAGGTAATCCCAAAAAGGAGCTCAGAAGCTTGTTTAGATAAGGCCTGGCCGTGCCAAAACCCGGAACAAACCAACAAACCCATGCCGAAGCAACGGAGTTCAGGGCTTACAGTAGGGTTTCGGCGCGCGCACTGGGAGGCGTAATATAGGGGCCTTAATAATTAGAATAGGGTTCTGGGGCACATTATACTATAGTTATAACAAGGAACCCCCAACATGGTATAGGTAATAAAGGCCATTAAGGCCCTCTGATTTAGGAATTTCGGGTTTTCGTAGGTCTGCAGCGTAAAGTTGTTATATCACCCCAAAAACTCCGGTTTAGTGATCAGGCCTCAAAAGAAACCCTGGGTCAACCCCTGGGAAAACCTGCTCTTACCCAGGCCCCCGGCTTGCGGCTTCTCCTATGCTTGTGCTGGTAACCCCCCCCCCGCCCCCCCGCCCCCCTGAATGTGGTGATGACCAAAGCAAAACGGACCTGGAGCTTCTTTCAAGATTTTCAGCATACCCATAGGCCCCATAGTAGTTCCTTTTTGGGGTTAGTTACCTTATAGGATTCTATATATGAACCCCCAAAAAGGAACTACTTTAGGGCCTATGGGTAGGCATGAGCACTTGCCGGAAAGGGGAAATAACGTGAAACAGCACACTGACAGTCAGCAATCAAGGACAGCAGGGAGGCGTCCTTCCCTCTCTTGATCAAAAAAAAAACACACATTCTTTTTGTGCCCGAAACCAAAAAAAAAAGCGAAAAGGCCGAAAAGGCCTCAACCCTCGCGCCCCCAAATGCCCGCTTGCCCGTGTCTCCAAGAAGCGGGCGTCTCTGCCCTCAGAAGCGGAATGGCCTCCTCAAAGAGCTCCTGGATCCCCCCGGATACAAACGATGAAGGGGCTTGTAGACAACAAAGTGCAACCCTAAACCCTAAACCCTAAACCCTAAACTCTAATACCCCGAGTAGTAACCCTTTTATCTGATGAATACCCTGAAAAGTAACCGTGACATCTGATTAATGCCCCGAATAGCAAGCTTCATATCTGAATAGTATTCCCAATAGCACCACTTATATCTGGCTACTACCCCCCCCCATAGTAGTTCAAGTAGTAAGCCTCAACCTGCAGAGCTTTTGAGTCGACGTTGGCAGGGCTTCGGATTTTCAGCTTCAGGCGCGCTTTTGGTTTGAGGCTGTTGGTTGGGGCCTGGGGCTTAGGCTCTTGCGGAGTGTGGCTTCAGGGTGGTTCAGGGCTCAGGGTTTATAGGGGTTGGGGTTTAGGGTTTAGGGGCCCTAAACCCTAAACCCTAAACAGGGTTTAGGGTTTAGGGTTTCCTGAACCTTCACCCTGACCTTACGGGGCCGAACTTACACAGAAAAACGACATCCTACACTTTACGCCCTAAATCACAAGCCCCCAACCTCCACACCCTATAGACCCTAAAACCTGAAAGCCTAAATCCTAAACCCTGTAACCTTACATCCCAAAAGACTGAATCCCAAATCCTAAAACCCTGAAGCCCAAGGTCCTGCAACCCTACCCTAGGCCCTATAAGCCCTAACCCGAAGGCCCTGAATCTAAAACCCTAAACCCCTAAACCCTCAACCCTATAAACCCTAAACCTCAGACCCTACAGTAAACCCTAAACCCTTAAACCCTAAACAGAGCTCGCCTTCGCCTCCTGGTACTTGCCACCCCAAGACTTGAGCTCAGCTGCAGCCTGCAGGTTTGAGGTTTGGGATTTAGGATATTTAGGGGTTTAGGGGTTTGGGGTTTAGGGGTTTAGGGGTTTAGGGTTTAGGGTTTGAGGTTTACACTATAGGGTTTAGGGTTTGGGGTGGTTTACGGCTTAGGAGGGCACTTAGGGGGGGCACTTGGGAGGCTTAGGCGGCTCAGGGTTAGGGTTTAGGCGGCTTAGGGTTTAGGGTTTAGGCGGCGTAGCGGGTTTATGCGGATTGACTCTCGCAACTCGCTCAATGCAGGCAAGGCTTCACTGCAACTGGTCCACGGCAGACTACTTTCCAACCCATGCGACTCGAGAAAACCTCAACAAACCAATGACGTAACATAGCAAACACCAAATGTCTTGGTTGCTCGCTCCGAATGAAAGAAACGATAGTGCCAAGGTACAGTGTTTATGAAGCTTTAGGATTTACGGGGTTTCGGGTTTAGGGTCCTCTAAGCGATATCACAACTCAAAAGTCCTTGTCTCATGTAGATGTTGGACTTACTGCTGTACAGCTCAGTGAGTTAAGGCTACGGTTAAGTTCTGAACATATGAACCCTTTTACCCCATCTTGTCTGTGATCACCGTCACCTAACGGCCGCAACGAGCTCCGCCGGGACCACAACCGACGACCCTTTCTACGACTGACACGACAACGCCGCAATTCCTCTTTCTGGGACTAGCAGTGCTGCACAGTTGTAGTTGAGACAATGGCGGCTGTGATGGACAAAATACAGTACAGTACCTAAGCACGAACGTCATAGTGAAAACGAACATCGCGAGGACAATGGCTCAGATAATATCCTCTCCCTAGCGAAAGACACCAGTGCGACAATACTGTAATGACGGGGGTGATGGTGCCGGTGAAGGAGGACGGCGATAGCTAGGAAAACAGTGACAGTTTTACTGCTGATGGTGATGATGCAGGTGTTGAAGTTGTGGTGAGGCTGAACACGGCTCTGATATTCTATGATGACGGTGGAAGATGACGAAGGCCATGATGCTAATGATGCTGGTGGCTCTCGGTATGGTGGTGATGGGTGGCAGTCGTTGTCGGAGCAGTTAAGATATCATGAAGCCAGCGCGGTCTTCCATCCGCATGTGCTCAAGCTATCTGCTGCGGCCATGTGGGACTGACATGGGGCTGGTGGCTTGTTGAGGGGTTGTCTTTGCAAGGCTTGCAGAAGGTGCTTGTGGCTTCTGGAGAAAGCTCAGCGCCCTAAACTTTAAACCCTAAACCGCAAACCCCTAAACCCCTAAACCCCTAAACCGTATAACAGGTTCCCAAACCCTAAAACCCTGGAAACAAAAACCATGCCGAAGCCCTTCTCTGCAGCTGAAAACGTGATATGGGTAGTTCTCTAACTTGGGGAATCCGGTTACAAGCTTAGGGTCCTTTTTATAAGGGTGCCGTGCGATATTTGGGAGCTAAAGGGGACCCAGATTTTGAGAAGCTACCCATAGGATGCAGCGCTGGTGGGGCAGGGACTTCAGGATTCCTCAGATTCGGGGCTCTGGGCTTGGAACCGGTGAAGCTCTGTCTCTCTCAACCTGAACCCTTCTCTTTCATTGGGGTTAGGGGACGACTTAAGTCCCCTGGCCTGGTGGCCCCCCACTTGTTATGGGGCTTTGGGGCTGAACCCTCTCTCTCTTTCTTTCTTTCTGCCGGGCTTAGGGGGTCCGCTGGGGACCCTCAAGCCTTCGGCCCGCCCGACCACCCGTTGTGTTATTGAGTGATCGGCTTGGGGGTCTGCTATGACCCTCTCTCTCGCTCTCTCTCCAGGACACTCAGTCGCCTGTCAAGGCCCGTGAGCTCCTCCCCACACCCTAAACCCTACATCCCCTAAGCCCCAATAACTAATACTATGGAATGAGCCAAAAACATACAGACGACCACTCGCACGCGCACACACACAGACCAACAGACTGACCGTATAGCATGATTCTGGAAGTGGCGGAGAGAACTGCTGCTACCTGAAGAACCGTTACTATTCCTACTGCAAAGTGGGATATATGCAACATGCCGTCCACGAATTTAGCGAATAAGTGTTACCGGCAGCAAAAACCCTAAACCCAACAACGGTCACACCATGCAACTCCTTTAACGTAGGGGCCTTAATAATTAGAATATGGTTTGGGGGTTCCTTATTATATTCATAGCATCATATACCCAAACACTATTCTAATTACTAAGGACACTCTAGTACTCGTGAGACGAGCCATCCTTCCTTTTGACCCTGATCTCGCCTTGTAGTAGACCGCGGCATTGCCGTCCTGCAGTGTCCAGAGATTCCGGACACTGGCTGAAATTACATACTTGGCGGTTCATGGGTAGTTATAAGTGGGGTCATGAGGAAGGTAACTGAAGTTTTAACACATATTAGGGGACTTATGACCCCACTTAAAACTACTCACGGGACCTCCAAGTAAGGTTGCCTACTGAAGGGTTCCGGTTCAGTAATTAATTCAGGGGTACGTTTCATGGGCCCTTATATAAGGCTTTTCAGGATCTTACTGTTTGGGGTCGGGGCTTTCCGTCAGGTCTGCACTTTCGGGTCCCTCACATACTTTCTGAAACTTCCGCAGAGTCCGGGCTCGGCTTCGGCAAAACACTCCCTCGGCACCATGTTCACACAGGCTCAGGACAAGCTAATGTAGGAGGCCCTAAAAGTTAGAATAGGGTTTTGGGGGTTCCTTATTATACTTATAGTATCATATACCCCCAAACCGTATTATGGTTATTACAGTAAGGCCCCTATATTAAGCTGGGTGCACTAGCAACGGCCCAAGTCCCAAACCCCACAAACCCGAAACTCTCATCCCTGAATCCGATACACAAAACAGTATAGAGGCCTTCATACACAGTATAGGAGTTGGGAAAGCGTTATTATAGAGCAGAATAATATAAAGAACACTAAGGAACAGTACAAGTAACTATACACGCCCTTAGACCAAGCCCGAATCCCCAAACCCTAAATCCTGAACCCCCAACACTAAACCCT